GACAACAACACATGTATACCTATGTAACAAACCTGCACGTTCTGCACATGTATCCCAGAATTTAAAATATAATAATAAAAAAGGACAATAAATGTTGCAGGGGTTATATTACTTAATTTCAAGGCTTATTATAAAGTCAAAATAATCAATCAGTAGAGTATAATATTGTCATAACAATAGAAATGCGTCACTGGAACTACAGAGAGTCTAGAAATATACTCACATATATGTATTTATAGAGAATTCATTATTAATTTGAATAGACAGTTCTCAAAGGAAGAAGCAAACAAGCATGTAGCAGGTGCTCAGCTTATTTGATCATCACTGAAATGCAAATCAAAGCTACAATGAGATATAATCTCACCCCAGTTACAATGGCTTATATCTAAAAGATGGCAACAACAAATGCTTGCAAAGATGCAGAGAAGAGAGAACTCCCCGTTCACTGTTAGTGGGAATGTAAATTAGTTTAACCACTGTGAAGAATAGTTTGAAGGTTCCTCCAAAAACTAAATATAGAGCTACCATGTGATCCAGGAATTCCACTGCTGAATATATACCCAAAAGAAAGGAAATCAGTATATCGAAGAGAAATCTGTATTCCCATGTTTGCTGTAGCACTATTCAAAAAAGCCAAAATTCGGAAGCAACCTAAGTGTCTGTCAACAGACGAATGGTTAAAGAAAATGTGGTACATATACACAATGGAGTGCTACTCAGCCATCATAAAGAATGACATCCTATCGTTTGCAGCAACATGGATGGAACTGGAGATCATTTTGTTAAGTGAAATAAGCCAGACACAGAAAGACAAACATTGCATGTTCTCACTTATATGTGGGATCTAAAAATAAAAAGAATTGAACTAGTGGACGTAAAGAGTAGAAAAATGATTCCTTGAGGCTGGGAAGGGTAGAAGGGTCATGGTTGAGGGGGAGTTGGGGATGGTTGATGGGTCTCCAGAAAGGAGACAAATATAGTAGGAAAGTATTAATAAGCTCTACTATTTTATAGCACAAGAGGGCGACTGTAGTCAATAGTGTTTAGTTACTTTAAAATAACTAAAAGAACATGATTGGATCACTTGTAACACAAAGAGTAAATACTTGAAGGGATGGATACCCCGTTTCCCATAATGTGATTATTGTCAATTGCATACCTATATCAAAACATCTCATGTACCCCATAAATATGTACATCTACTGTATACCCACAAAAAGTGCAAATTTTTTTAATGACACATAAAATGCTTTAAAAATGCTATCCCCAAAATTGATTTTGCTTGTTAAATATTAATTGGACCCATTTTAGCCTAAACAAACTTGATAAAAGAAAAAACGTAGGAAGACTCACACTTTCTGACTTCAAAACTTAAGACAAAGCAACTGAAGTCAAAACAGTTTAGTAGTGGTACAAGGATAGAAGTACAGATCAATGAAATAGAATCGAGAGTCCAGAAATAAACTCATGTCTCTAGGGACAACCAATTTTAATGAGGGTACCAAGAGAACTCAATGGGGGAAAGAATAATCTTTTCAACAAATGGTGCTGGAGCAGCTGGATAAGCACATACAAAAGAATGAAGTTTGACCTTACCTCACACTATATACAAAAATTAACTCAAAATGAATCAACTATCTAAATATAAGAACTATTATGATAAAATTTGTAGAAAACAACATAAGGGTGTATTTTCATGACCTTGGATTTGGCAGATAATTCCTATATATGACACCAAAAGCATTAACAGGAAAAAAATTGGTAAATTGGACTTCGCCAAAATTTTAAACTTTTGGGCTTCAAAGGACACCATTAAGACAGTGAAATGGCAACCCAGCTGATGACTGTGATTCCCAGATTTCCCAAAACTACTCCTGTACATTGTGCTGTACTCCCTCTTCCTCTGGCTCCTTTCCCTTGGGTTCCTGGTTCCCTGTCCTCACTAGGCCGAACTCTGAACTCAGAGCTCTGAGTGCCAGCCTGCTGGGTCTCTGTGGACTTGGTTTCCCAAGTGGTCTCACTCACGGACTCTGACAATTTCTCTCCCATGGATCCACCCAACGACCCTCACGGGCTGAGCGTGTCCTGTCTGCTCTCCTTCCCTGACTCCTGTCAGTCTGACTGAATCTTTCCTCCTCAAAAGAAAAACATATGTTGACATTTCAAAATTTTAAATCATGCCCAGAGGAATAGTCTTACTTAGAACACTGCCCCATAAATCCAGCTTCATATGAGTAAGAAATTAACTTGCTATTCTAATTAACGTGATTAGAAAATGCAGAGACACTAATTAAAGTAACATTGAGAAAATATTTTTCGCTCATATTTTTGATCAAAAATTTAAAATTAATATATTAAAATGTTCATGAGAGTATAAAATATTCATATACATTAATCTGTCAGAACATGTATTGCTACAGATTTTGGATTGAAATGTCTGCAGTATTTATAAAACTGTAAACTGTTTCCACCCTTTCCACTTTAACCCAATGTTCACATTGTTATGTATTTCTTAGTAAACAATATGTACATTTGCACAATAATTCATGTTCAAAGATGTTGGTTTCAGTTCTATTGATCATAACAGCGAGTAGAGAACAATTTATGTATCTATCAGGTACAGAATGGTTTAATTAATTATGGGATATTAATGCTTTAAGATTCTAGAGAGTGGTTACAAGATAAAGGGAGATATATACGTACTGTCATAGTAAGATTCTGTATCCGTTTTATTAAGCGGTAAAGCCAAGTAGCACATCAATATGTACATCATTATCAAAATGACCAATATACTGGTATTTTCATAGGACATCTATATATAAAAAGCCTAAAGTCAGCTTTAAAATAATACATATAAGAATAATAATTATGGTAAACTCTGTGGTGGGTTTTAAATTGTGGAAGGACTTTGAAAAGGGAAAAATTATAATATATCTGTATATTTAGATTGAAACAAATATATATATACATACTGCTATTTTTGTAATAAAACTCTTTAAATAAGAAAAACAGCAAAAATAGTAGCTGTGTATTAGCCAGTAAAAATAACTGCTAGGTGATGTAACAGACCAACCTGAAAATGTGAATGACTTGACACAAGAAAAGTTTATTTTATGTACACATAAGTTCTGATGTGTTTTGGCAGGGGCTCTCCACTCTCACGTGACAGAGGGATCCAGGCTCCTTCCACCCTGTGATTCCATTATCTCAAAATGAAGCTGCCACATGTACTATTGGATGGAGGAAGAAAACGTGAAAATGGCACACTGGTTCTCAAATGCCTGATGTGACAAACAATACTTCTGTTTATGTTTCAGTGGTAACAAGTGATCACATGACCCTTCCTAAATATAACTGTGCTGTACTGTTCCCATGTGTCCAGGAAGGAGACAAAGACAAAATGTGAGTGAGTAATATACTCCCCACTATAAACTGTTATGTAGGAGGTGCTCAAGAAAAAGCAACTATGATAATTTGATCTTATACAACCCTTCTCATTGCTAGGAGGAGTTTCTGAGGCCACATTTGCCTTGAAGTTCTCTAATTTTTTCTAGTGCCTGCTACGTGATTGATGCTTTCAAATGTAGGCTCACAACTGTCCCAAAACCTTGAAAGTCACTGAGCAGGAAGGCTCCTCAGGGAATCTTCCCTTTATAATAACCTTTAAACCCTTACTTAGTAGGCTTAGAATTTTTCCTCCATTTGATTCCTGGTCAAAATCTTAACCTGTGAATTTCTGCTACACTCCACATGCCTAAACACCTGTCAGGTGCTTTTAGACACAATGAAAGCCCATATTTTCCTGTGGGGTAAATACTAGACAAGACAAAGTAGAATTTTGGTTAATTATTCTGTTAAAATTTGACCTAGTACTCTCACAAAGGAACGATTTTTCACCTCCTGGGAGACTCTAGGGTTATAGGAGTTCAGCCTCAGTAGATGTAGACTCCACAGTGATTTCCATGGTCTTTCCTCATCTCCACCTTTGGTTTTTGACCACCAAGGTAAGCTCATTCATCCTTGTATGTGTTCAGTGACCAATTTCAAGTAAAACATTCCTTAAATTCCTATTACAAATAACGAGTGGTTTAAAAAGAGTCCCTCTCTAACTTTATATGACAAGAATCATGTGCTAAATCGCATTTCACTCGCCATCTATTTAGAAAAGTTTGAGAGTGTGTTTAGACACACAATTGGGATGACAGGATGTGTAAATGGGAGGGCAGTTGATTCCACTCAACTTTCACAGCAAACAGCAGGGAGGCCAGATTCCAATTGGAAGAGAGGGAACACGGCAGAGACCAAGGGAAGGCTGCTATAGTACAGGACAGTGTTAGGGCTGGGCAGAAATTCCTGCACCTGTGTAGAGTCACCTCTCAGTAACCCCAAGGCTCAGGCAGAAGGACCCTAGGTTGATAAAGCCCACAGACTATTCCCAGACTGTGTTTCATTCTCAATGTCTCCTTCCTTTTGTAGGCCTGCCTTGAGTAGCATGGCCACAGGGTCCTTCTTTTGGTCACTTGAGAGACATTATTCAGTACTGAGAAGACAAATAAATTAAGGGAAAGAGGTGTACTTCAGGCTGTGAAGAGTGAGATTAGCATGGGCTCTCGATGAACTCAGACCAAACTTGTGATTTATCAGCCATATGATCTCGAGCAAGTTACCAAGCTCCATGAGACTCAGGTTCTTCATCCAGAAAATGGGTTTGATGGACCATTATCTGTAGGACTGTTGTAACGTAGGAAATGTATTAAAATGCCTGGGATGATGCCTGGTATATATTGGATATTTAATGATTGACAGCTATTTCCAGTGTTACCTTGACCCCAGGTGCTACCACTCTCTCCTCTGGAACATTTTTTATTGTCCAGGACATCTCAGAGAATCTGCAATTCAATAGGAAACTGCATTTGCTTGGTGCATATGTATGTGTGCTATAATTTCATAGAACAACAGATAAATATAGATAAGAAGGTGAGAATTAACGAATTTATCCCTTTATTTCTCTGTTCCATAACACCAGTTCAATTTTATTGCTAAGTTCTTACATTCTCCAAGAAAATGCCTGTTCCATTGTTGTGGTATCTTATTCCAAATCGCAGCAAGATGGAAGGTTTCCCAAAATATTTTACAAAATGGCAAACTCTTACACTTGAAGTGGATAAGCAAACCTACGCATGTGATCAGTGTCATCCATACACTTAGGTGTTGAAACTAATTAAATCTTTTATTACAGGAACAATATTTGAAAGTTAACAAAAGGAAACAGAAAGAAATCTCCAAGTCACCCGATGAAAGAGAAACCTAAAGACAGTATACAATGTATTCCCCTCCATCCACTGTGCCCTCCGCTACTGAGAACATTGACTTCTCTCATCAAACACAGAGGGAAGAATGGGCCTGATTTCACACAGGGCAGGGAAGCCGCTGGATGTGGCCCTGAAGCATGCATTGGCCCAGTTCCCTGCCCACTGGCCCTGGTTGCATTTCTTGCTCAGACTCCCTCTCCCACCACTCTCAAAGCCTCTTCATAAAGGGATGGGTAAGAAGTGGGGTCCCTCCCATTGGCATTGGCTATATACTCAAGAACTTTCATCTTGCTGGTCTCGGCGTGGGCCCTTGGACCCCACAGGAACTCATAGCATGTGGGATTGCTGCCGGGCACCTGCTGGTACACCAGGTAGTTTTCCTCCACCCAGTCTTGGGTGAGGAGCTTCTTGGGCTCCCCAAATAGGAAGTGCTCCCTCCCAGCATACACCTCCATATCACTCAGCACTTCCCACATAGCCTCTTCAGGGACACAGTTGCCCTCCATGAAGATTATGCCCACGACTAATATCAGGAGGCCAGACTTGGGCATGCTCTGCTAATCACCCAGTATGCCATCATAGGAGAGGCCGAGAGAGGTAACAAGGATGTAGGAGTGGCTAATGGGGTCCACTTCCTTCACGTCAATGCCAAAAAGCAGCTGCATGCATTCAGAGGTTTCCCGAAATATCTCAGGAAAGTATTCCTCGTAATTTTTGATGACCCGCTCCAGCATTTCTGCCTTTGTGATCGGCTCCTTGACTCGATACTTGTGGAGTAGTAAATGAACCAACTCAGCCATCTTCTCATCTAGCATATCGTGGAGAAAGGACTCAGGGTCTTCCATGTCAGGCAAGGTACTTGGCCCCTCCTCTTCTTGGCTGCTGGAGCCCTCATCAAGTAGGCTCCATCCTAATGGAGTCTATGGCAGTGGGGGAGGAGGAAGCTGCCTGAGGACTCTGGGGAGGACTCGGTGACTCAGCCACAGGCACCTCCTCTAGAGTGCCTGCATTCAGAGTAGAGGACAAGGAGGCAGCCTCCTGCTCCTCAACTGGGAGAGCCTGTGCACCCACCAGGCCGGGGGCTTCTTCTTGGGCCTGAAGACCTTCCTCGGGCTTACAGTGCTGACTCCTTTGCCCAAGAGGCATGGTAACTCTGGTCAGGTCAGCAGGCAGCACTGTGGGAAGGATCTGGGTGATGGGGAACCACAGGCCTGGGAAGAGAGGGAGCGTGAGAGCAGACTCAGCTGAGACATGAACCATGGAGAGTCTAACCAACACCTACTTACAGGTCTTCTCCTCCAGTGATCCTCTCGGGCCTTCTGGGGCTCCTGTCCTACTGTTTGGCCTGTTCTCTACGAATCTGAAAAAGAAAGTGAGAAGGCTGCTCAAGATGCAGCTAGACATCAGAGCAGAAGGCTCCAGGACTGAAGGTAGGGCAGGCGAGGCTACAAGTTGGGAGTCCCTTTCTGTACTTAGGCGGGTTGGGCCCTTTGTATGTTGAAGGTGATCATCACCTCTTGACTGCTGGAACTGCCTGGGCCTCCTCTGCTCTGAGACCTGAAGACCCTGCCTCAGACAAAAGCCTCACTGCTCAGTTTTTGGAGCTTCTAGAAGAGGAACCATGGAGCCCTCAGGCTGCAAACTGCAAGAACCATCCTGGCACCCCAGCACTGTCAGAAAGGTGGGCGAGGCTCTGTGAGTTTCTCATTGTTTGGGAGTGAATGGTCCCCTGTGAGCTTAGGGCCCTCACCTTTCTCCTGCCAGGGCCTGAAACACACACTTCTGTTGACCTGAGACACTCTCAGATGTCTCAGGGGATCTGTGGGGATCCACATCTGGCCACATACACCCAGGACTATCCAGGAAGGACAGCAAGAGGTGGTGATATTCAGCTGGGTCCATGTGTCCTGGGGTGAAAAGCCTGCTTGTTCCCCATCTTGATGCCCATCTGGGGCTGGGACCCACCCTCTGTTGACCTGGGCCACATCCTGAAACCAAAGCTCTCTCTTCAGGACACATTGGAAGAGGAAACCAGGGAAATGGAAACACCCACGGTTCCCTGCGACTTCCCGTGGCTGACAGAAGGGGCAGGGTAGGGCTGGGTCCCATGTGTTTGGTATGTGGGGTCCCCTTGGCCCTCACTTGATTCTGAGTATGGCCTGGGACCCTCCCACTGCTGACCTAAGTGCAGCCCTCTCAGACCAAAGCCTCCCCCTCCCTGAGACCAGTGATCCCAGTATAAGAGAGGGGCCTCAACAGATAGTCCTGCACATGATCTCTGGAGAGACAGCAGGGGCAGAGCAGACTTCTGTGTGACCCTCCTCTGTGTTCTGGCCAGGGGAAACCCTCAAGGTTTCTCACCTGACTCTTGGCGGATCCAGGGACCTCTTTATTTGTGGACTCGACAGGGCTCCTTTCATTGCCTCGAAGTCGTCCTCTGAGAACACAGTCCTCACCTGCCTGAGATTCCAAAACAGAAATGATGGACCCCACATCCCATCACCTGGTGTGCGGTTGTCCAGGGCTGATGCCAGAGGCTGGCCCCTTCGGTTCTGGGGTGGGGATTCCTCCAAAGTCCTCCTGTGGGTTTTTCATCTTTACTCCTGCCAGGGCCTGTCCTTCCTCGACTCCAAACCCCTTAGATGAGCAGACGTGTTCCTTTACACCGAGACCTCAACTCCCTGAAGGTTCCCCAACTTCCTGCCTGTGGTACAAGTGAGCTTCCCATCTAGGGCCACCCATGATCAGGTCCCCTTAGTGCCAAGGACAGGGGACAGTGAGTCTCTGTGGGGGTCCCTTCATTACGGGATGGGGAGTATCTCCAATCCTCACAAAGGGGGCACACCTTGAGTCCTAAAGATCCTGGGACTCCTCCCTCTGATGACCAGTTGTGGCTCCATCTGCTGACCTGTCATCATCCCCTTGAAACCAGAAACCCACCACCCCCAACCACATGGCAGAAATGAGAGCTTGGCACATGCCTCCCCTACCTGGGGCTTCCCAGGGATGAAAACAGAGGAAGGAGGGGTTTGTGAGGTCCCTTTTTCTTTGGCATGTGAGAGGTTAACTTCTTACCTTCAGTCTTCACCCATTTTCCTCTCCTTGACTACTGGCAGATCCTGGACTCCACCCTGTGCTGACCAGGTGTGGACCCCTCTGCTGACCTGAGGACCTGCCTCAGACCAAGGGCCCCACTTCTCTGAGATGTGGGAGACAGAAAGTGAAGGGGCGCTACATGGACACCCCTGCATGGCATTCCAAAGGCTAACAGATGGAGCAGATTTCAGGGGTGCCTCCTCTCTCTGGGTGTCCTCCGGGTATTCGGATTTACTCCTGACAAGGTCTATCCCTTTCCCTCCTGCTGAATTGTGGGTGGGTTTTGCAGGCCAAGGCCACTGTCTCTTGGAGAACCCCAACTAGGAAGTGGGGAGGCGACCCTCTTTCCTAGAGTCCTGCCTGGGTCCTCCCAGGACTGATGCCAGGGGTAGGTTTTCTACCTCAGCGATAATTGGTTGACTGAGTCCTCCCTCAGAGCTGTGGGACTCCTCCCTGGGCTGACCTGAGGGTCCACTCCTCAGACCACAACCCTCTCCTCTCTAACACCCCGAAGGCACAGTGAGGATGCACCTTATGTGGCCACTGTGCCTGGGTCCTCCAAGGGCCAAGGTCCCCACTGACCTGGAGTCCAAGGTCTCCTGAATCCTCCTTCTTCTTCCTCCCCTTGATCCTGGCATGGCTGAACCCGAGACCCTCTCTGTGGACCTGGGTCTCCCTCTTTCATATTCCCAAGGCTGAATGGGGAGGCGCCTCAGTCTGAGATGGGGGCAGAGGTGGGCCCCCGTCCTGGGCTGCTGGGTCCCCTCAGGCCTCCCACAGGCCTGCCTTGTCTCCCAACAGGGACTGGGCCCTGGCTGTGCTCCCCGCAGGTCATGCTCGTGATATCAAGCCCCTTCCTTCCGTCAGCCCAGGATGCGCAAATCAGGATCCGTGTGCCTGGCAGCCGTGCCAGGATCTTCCCAGGACTGACAGCAGAGATGGAGCCTCGCTCTGTGGGGCCTCAGCCCTCCCTCATGATCCTGACCTTGATGCCCGGCAGAACCTGGGCCCTGTCCTCTCCTAGCCAGCCTTGCCCTGGTCACACCAAGCTGTGACCCCAGAGTCCCCTGAGGCTTAAGCGGCTGGGGGTCGGGGGGTGGAAGTTCGGAAGGCCCAGCCTGAGAAGTCCGCCCCCGTGGGGTGATCCAGCACTGGCAGCAGATGCGGTGCTGGATTATTTGGGGTCCTCTCTCTGGGGAGGAGGCGTCCTCAGTCCTCTCTCAGCATCTCATCTTGCCTTCTCACAGAGCCTGGGCCCGCTGCCCTCAGCGGATCTCAAGCCACCCCTCAGAAGCAGGCTCTCACGTCTCTCTGACCCCCTAATGCGCAAGGCGGAGCACCAAGCCCGAGCGCCCTTGCGTTGACAGCAGGGACAAAGATGGATTCTACTGGGATGGGGTGGAGCCTCTCCATAATTTCTCAGAGTCCTGAAGTTGATGTCTGGAGAGGCCTGGGGCCCCATCCCTTGTGGAACTGCCTCTGCCCAAGTCACACCATAGACCCGACTCACAGAGTCTCCTTGGGCATTGAGGTAGGGGATTGTCTCAGCCTGATAATTTGGTCCCCTGCTGGTTCAGGGCTGGCTCCAGGGTCGGTACTGGATTATTTGGGGCCCTCTATCCGGGGAGGGGGCATCCTCAGTTCTCCCTCAGCTCTCACCTTGCCTCCTGGGCCCCCTGCACTCTGCTGCCCTCAAGACGCCCCTCACAGAGAGACGCCCTCGCGTCTCTCAGATCCCAGAGGCAGAAGCCAGTGGAGGTCACATCCGGACCGCAGGCCTGGAGCTTCCCTGGATTGACAGTGGGGGCGGAACCCGCTTCTGCCCACGTGGGGGTGAGGGGGAGAGTAGTGGCGAGGGGTGCAGATGCTCTCGGGGTCAATCCTCCCTCAGGTTTCTGACCTTGATTCCTTGCAGAGCTTGGAGCTCCGTCCTCTGCCTATGGTGTCTGCTCTCCTCAGAGACCAAGTCTCTGACTCTGAGTCCCCTGACGTGGCAGTGAGGGGGAGGTGTGTGGTCGGGGTGCCAACGTTGCCAGGGTCTTCCAGGGCTGACAGGAGGGGCTGAGCTGCATTTTGTGGTCCCTCTATGTGGGGTGGGTGGACCCTCAGTCCTCACTCAGGAGGCTCCTCCCCCTGGCTCCTGGCTCTTTGATGAAGTGATGGGTGGGAGATGCTCTGCTGCCCTCACTGTGCAGAATTTGCCCAGCGGCACCTCTTGCAGAGAATGGCTGTGGGTCCCAGGCCAGGTGCTTCCTGGGGTGCTTCAGCACCCGTGATTGTAGGACCTCTGGGAGAAGGCGCACACCTTCCCGTGGGGCTCCTCCTCAACCAGAGTTAGAGGCTGGCCCTGTTGGTTCTGGGGTGGGGAATCCAAAGTCCTCCTGTGGGTTATTCATCTTTACTCCTGCTGGGGCCTGCCCTTCCTGGACTCACAATCCCTGAGATGAGCAGACATCTCCCCTTTACACCAACACCTCATCTCCTGGGGTTCCCCTACTTCTTGCCTGTGGTACAATGGAGTCTGCCACCTATGGCCACCTGTCATCAGGTCCCCACAGAGCCAAGAACAGGTGACAGCAAGACTCTGTTTGCTAGATCATTTTTTTCTTGCAGGACTGTTGTATTGTAAGAAATTTGTTAAATCACCTGGCACAGGGTCTGGCACATATTGAATATTTGATAAATGGCAGTTTTAAAATATTATTTTTAGACCATATCCTACTATACTCTCTTTTGGGAATTTCTTCTGTTGTTATCTAAAATATCTCAGAGGACATGCAGCTCAATAGAACATATAATACCAAATTAGTAAAAAATTGAAGCTTTGTGAATAAAAGTCAATAAAATTTCCCTCCCAGATGGCCTGTTATTTAATTTGGTTGTGTGAGAGTCTTCCCCAACTGGATGCAGCTCAAAGATCTTGAAATCTGAGTGAAAGACCAATTCATTCTCTCCCTCCCAGCTGCTTTTCCATCCAAACCATTATTTTCGTTCATTTTACTCCTACCCAAATCTAGCCCTTGATTATCTGAGTTATCCATTTCAGACCACAGCCTCACCTCCGTGAAACCCCACTCCCACCCCACTGCAGAAGTGGGAGCATGTCACTCACTTCAAGCCTCTTGCCTGGGTCCTCCTATGGCTGACAATAGGCAACAGCCAGAATCCTGGAAGGTCCTTCTTTTCTGAACTATTGTGTTCCTTCTAATTTTATTCTTACAGGTTCTACTCACTTCCAGAGTTACTTGTGGCAGCAATTTTTCTCTTGGTATTCATTATAGAGGTTGTTTCATATGTTTGTAATATAGGTATTCTGTTTTGTCATATTATCCATTCTTTTCTGAGATCTTCAGACCTCCTAAAATTTTTTTTTATATTTGCATACATTAGGAGTCACAGTTGTTCTGAGGGTTTTGGCAAATGCATAGTGTTATATTCACTGTTACCGTATCATACAGGATAGCTTCGCCACCCTAATAAATCCCCTGTGCTTACCTATTCAACCCTCCCCCCTCACCCACTCAACTCCTGGAAGCAACTGATCTTTTTACTGTCTCTGTAGTTTTGCCTTTTCCAGCATATCAAATGAATTGTATCATCGTATACTATCTAATCCTTTCAGACTGGTTTCTTTAACTTAGGGATGGGCATTTAATATTCATCCATGTCTTTGTATGGCTTGTGATATGATTTGGCTGTGTCCCCACCTAAATGTCAACTTGAATTGTGTCTCCCAGAATTCCCATGTTTTGTGGGACAGACCCAGGGGGAAGTAATTGGATCGTGGGAGCAGTCTTTCCCATGCTACTCTCGTGATAGTGAATAAGTCTCACGAGATCTAATGGGTTTATCAGGGGTCTCCACTTCGGCTTCTTCCTCACTTTTCCTGTTGCCTCTGCCATGTACAAAATGCTTTTCACCTCCTGCCATGATTCTGAGACTTCCCAGCCATGTGGAACTGAAAATCCAATTAAACCTTTTTTCTTCCCAGGCTAAGGTATGTCTTTATCAGTGGCATGAAAACAGACTAATATGACTTGATGGCTCATTTCTTTTTGTTGATTAATAGTGTTCTGTTAAATGGCTGTACCACAGTTTGTTTCCATTCACCTCCTGAAGAACAACTTGGTTGCTTCCTGTTACTGAGAGTCATTAAATAAGCTATGATACAAATTTATATGCAAGACTTTGTGTAGACATAAAATTTCAAATTACTTGGGTTAATACCTAGGCGGTATATTCTCTGAACCGTATGGTAATACTATGTTCCGCTTTGTAAGAAACTCACAAACTGTCTTCCAAGGTGACTGTACTATTTGCATTCACCAGCATTGAGTGATTCTAGTTGCTCAGCATCCTTGCCAGCCATTGGTATTGTCTGCTTTTTAAAAACTTTAGGTACTCTAAATATGAAATTAATGTAGCAGTTCCAGCTTTCTTTTGTCAGTGTTCGAATACCTTTTCAAGCTCCTTACATTTAACTTACGTGAGTCCTTATAATTAAAAATGAGGTTCTTATAGAAAACGTGTTTTTGAGTATTATTTTTTATGAATTCTGACAATCTGTCTTTTATTGGTGTACTTAGACCATTCCAACTTAAAGTGATAATTAATATAATCACATTAATATCTACCAGGTATGTAACTATTTCATATGTATTTAATTTTTCTTTATTCCTCTTCTTTTTCCACCTTCTTTCATTTTATAGAGCATTTAGTACATGCAAAATATACCTCTTTTTAAAAGAAGTAGTCTTTCTCTTGGAGTTAACAATATATATTTTAATAACATGCCATAAAATAACACTATACTGCTTCCTGGATAGTATAGACACGTTATGAAAGAGTATACTCAATTCCTTCATTGCATTGCTTGTAATATTAGTATCATTTATTTCATTTTTCCATATACACTAATTGCCTGATACAATGGTATTATTATTAATGTAAATAAATAGTTACATTTTAGATCAGTTAAGAATAAGAAAGCATTTTATTTTACCTTTATTTATTCCTTCTCTGGTATTCTTTCTTAGTGTAGACATAAATTCCATACCTATATAAGATTTCTGTAGTTGGGAGAAAAAAAATAGAAAATGAGTAAGAACAAAAACAAACAAAGAAAAAAAAACTGATGACCATTAGATGCAGAGAATCATTTGAAAATTTCAATACATTTCATTTTTTAAAATTCTCAACAAATTAGAAATATATGTCAGCATTGTCAATTTGTTAAAGGAAATCTACAAAAAAGAACCCAGAGCTAAGCATACGCTTAATGATGAAATATTGAATGCTTTCCATCTAAGGTCAGAATCAAGGAAAAAGTCATGGAGTTCATGCTTCTCCTCAACTTTTTCTATTAGAGGTTCACACTCTTGCAATACACCAAGAGAAAGACATGAAAAACATGATTTAAAAGGAAGAAATACAATGGTCTTTACTGCAAACAACATGCTGGTCAATGTGGAAAATCCTAAGGTTTCTACAAAGAAAAAAGCAAAACTGCTTTTTTTTTTGGGGGGGGGGTATAAGTGAATACCATGGTTGTATGATACACGGTTAATGTACGGAAATTTATTGTGTGTCTCTATACTAGCAGAAAACACACGAAAATGACAAAAAAATAAGTGCTTTATGAATAGCAAAATATAAAGTACTTTGGAATACATTTAATGAAAAATCTGCAAGACCTATACATTGAAAACTACAAAATAGGACAGAAAAATTAGAAAACATCTAAATAAATGAAGAGATAATCCATGCTCATAGATGAGAAAAATCTAAATTGTCATTTTATTCTATTGCTTATAATTCAGTGCTATCATTATTTATACTGTTGCTCAAATTTTCCAGCTTTTGTGAGCCCTTTTAGCCTTTGGAAGTTCCTGTGCCCTTTTCATGTACCTCATCATTTCTTAAGCACTCTGGTATCACAAAATGCTAAGCTCACCTTGTACTTTATCTGCCACAGTCCTAGAACTAAACAAATACATAAATGTGGACTTCCACCAAACTGAAATGAAGACAGACAACAGATGGAGAAAATATTTGCAAAGCACACATCGAAACATTGACTTGCACCCAGAACGTACAGAGAACTCTTAAAAACTCAAAAATGCAAAAGGAACCACCTAATTTAAAAATTGGCAAAAGACTTGACAATTTGCAAATGGGATATGAGCATGGTGAGAAAACACAGGAAAAGATGTGCAACATCATTACCCGCTGGGGAAGGCAAACTACAACCGGGAGGAGAGCCCAAAACACATGGCTTCCGAATGGCGAAACTCAACAGCAACTACAGAGCCACGTGCCCGGGAGGATGCAGAGGAGCTGGGACACTCCGACATTACTGGCGGGAAGGGAGAACGGTACAGGCACTGTGGAAAATGGTTTGGCAGTTTCTGATGCATTAAAGGTGCACTCGCCCTGGGATCCGGCTGCCCCATTCCTAGGTATTTACCCTAGAGAAGTGAAAGGGCACAGCGAGGTAGAAACCCACACTCTAGTGTTTGCAGTGGCCTTGTTAGTGATAGCCAAGGGCCGGAAACCACCCTCAGCAGACGGTCGCATAAGCCAACTGTAGGCATGCGTACAGTGGAATACCACTCAGCAACGAGAGGGTCCACCTGTGGATGCAGGGAACAAGTTGGATGAATCTCAGAGACATTATGTTAATGACAGGAAGCCAGTCTCAACGGGCTACTTGCCTTGCGATGCCATCTACATAAAGTTCCAGCAGGGAAAAAAGGACAGTGACGGAGAACAGATCAGTGGTTGCCGGGGCTAAGGGTGGGACGGTGTGACAGTGAAGGGACAGCATGAGAGAGTTTTACAGGGTGACAGACCTCTTCTGCCTCCTGCCTGTGGCTGTGCGAATCTACACTTGCGTGAAGACTCAGGGATCACCACACCAAAGGAAGGCAGTCACTTCTCCTACTGTATGTTAGATAATTAATAAAAGAAGAAGGAAGAAGGGAGAAGTGTCATCCCAGGGGACTGGACAGGAGGGCGGAGACGTGTCACAGGGGAGCCTGGCCAAGTGACGCTCCCAGAACTCATCTTCTGGGCCTGCGTGTGGATGACACAAGGCCTACCACCTGGTACGACCAGCAACATATTCGGAATGCACCCTTGCCGTGGAGGCGGGGACCCGGCAGCGTTACGTATCCAGCGTCAACCTGCCAAGTTCCCCACCCAACTTGGTAGGGGTGAGGGTACGGGCCCTGAGGAGCCCAGGCAGCCACACTTTCTGGGGAGCCCGTTCCCGTTTGTGTTGCCAAAGTACCCCCAGCAGGTTGTGGGAAGGTTGCCGGTGAAGAGAGTCTGTTGGGGTGAGATCTTATATGTGTGCACAGGGTGACAGCGGTGTCCCGTTCCCTGGGAAGCTGTGATGCCAGCGGGGCCTGGGGGAGCCTGAGTGAGTGTGGGAGGGCAAGCCTCTGGAAGAGCAGAGGCTGCGGAGCCAGATGCCGGACTGTCTTGTCACTCAAAGGAAGGGGGACTGATGTCAGCCACTGAGCGTTTGTGTCCCCTGGTGGCGGCAAGCCCTACAGTGGGCACACCATACCTTTTCTGTCCCGCGTGGTCCTGGCAGCAGGCCTGGGAGGGGGAACGGCCCTTACTCAGCTTGCGGGTGGGACCGTCTTAACTGGAGAGGTGCCAAAGATGCCTTCCATCAGAGGCCGGGACGGGCGTGCTAAAGAGACTTCTTCTCTCGCCCTCCCCCCAGGTTGTGTGTGTCCCGCTGTGGATTCTCATGTCCTTTCTGTGCCTGGTGGTCCTCTACTACATCGTGTGGTCCGTCTTGTTCTTGCGCTCTATGGATGTGATTGCCGAGCAGCGCAGGACACACATAACCATGGCCCTGAGCTGGATGACCATCGTGGTGCCTCTTCTTACGTTTGAGGTAAGCATTCCGCGGGAAGCCTCTTCGGCCCCTGGAGCTCACGCTTCCCCTGACAGGATCCTGCACCCCTAGAAAGGCAGCCTCTGTCCCTCGAGCTCACAGTGAGCCGACTCCAGGAGTGGGGAGAGAACAGGGCCATCTCTGGGAGGGAGCTTTAGTGAAAGGAGAACATCCTTCCTTTCTCTTGGGGAGAGCGCGTGGGGCTGGCAGGGAGAAGAGTGCACCTTTTGAGCCATGCTGCCTCTGTAAGGCTCCAGTTTCCACTTTTGGAAAAGGAGAGGTGGATGTCGGATTTGTGTATTGGAGTCGTGTGGAGAATTCTAGAATGGGAGCTGTTGACTCCGTAGAACAAACATCGGGAGGAGTTTGCCATAAAACTGCTGGTATCGGGAGCTTTTCAAGTGGATGCGCTTTTGCTGAGCTCTGAAGAGGGACATAAAATTTTGCTCATTTAGAGCATTCCCCAAGGATAGGTGCTTTTCTGCCTTTTCCTGTGGTGCTGACATTCCCTCTTCTGACAGCTCACTGCGGTGGGGCCCTGCGAGGCGGGTCGGGGGAGGGGAGCTGCCTAATGAGGTCTGGCTTCCTCCTCTGTGGGTTCTTGGTGCTGGCGTCCACAGGGCCTTGACTGCGTCTCTTTCTTTAGATTCTGCTGGTTCACAAACTGGATGGCCACAACGCCTTCTCCTGCATCCCGATTTTCATCCCCCTTTGGCTCTCGTTGATCACGCTGATGGCAACCACATTTGGACAGAAAGGAGGAAACCACTGTATGTACTCAGCCTTTCAGAAGTCCTTGGGGTGTGTCTGGGGTGGGACCGCGGGTAGGTGGGAGATAGCGGTCTCTAGGAAGGGATGAGTCCCCTAGGGTCCCAAATTAGAAGCTTGTGTGGGAAGCGAGGGCTGAGGAAGTTCTGGGACCTTCCGAGGGCAGGGCACGCCATCACCCTGGTGTTCTACTGGCCTGCACCGGGACTTTTCTCGCAGTGCACGCTGCCAATAGGTAGGACCAGACAAGGCAGGCAACCTCTCAGAGAGCCTATTCCCTCCTCTGCAAACTAGGGATCAAGATAGATTCTTCCCAGGCCCGTGAGGGTTTGATGGGAAATCCACATCTCCCACCCAAACCCTGGGATCCAGCCTAGCTCCGAGTTGGCCCCTCTGCCTCCCCAGTGTCCTTGCTGCCATCACCCGAGTCTTGTCTCTCGTGCCTTGCTAGCTCTCTCTTCCCTTCCACCTGCTTGCTGAGGCAGACACTTCCAAAATGATCTCTGCAGAGGGTGCCTTCCTGGTGAGGCTGTGAGCTCCATGGCATGGAAGCCCAGAGCACTGGCCTTCCAAAAGCCAGTGGGGTTGGAGGCAGGGCCTCACTGCAGCCCAGCAGCCCAGGCTATGCTTGCTGCTTGTGCCTCTGCCCTCCCGGGAGCAGGGAGGGCCTGCACCGAAGAGTGGGACCGGGCAAGTGGCTTTAAGGTGGCTCCATGAGTTCAGGCCCCCTCCTTGCCAGGATCCACGCATGACTGCCAGCCTGGCGGAATCTAGAGGGTGACGGAAACCCTTTGCTTGGATGGCACTGTCATCCATGAGTTTTTCCTGGGTGGACAAGATTAGTGGAAGACACCAGGGCCTACGCACCACAGGTGTTTCGAGACGCACTGGAGCAGTGGTTCTCAAACTTGGGCACCCAGCAGAATCCCAAAAGGGTCAGGAAAAGGGTACCTCTGGAGCCCACCCTAGCCCGACTCACAGTTTCCAGAGAGCGGTCTGGGCTGAGGCCCGAGAATGGCATCCCTAACAAGGCACCAGGGACGCTGTCCCTGCTGGTCGGGGAGCCCCACTCAGAGAACTACGGCGCTAGGGTTTGTTCTTCTCCTTCATTTCGGGTACTCACGCCCTGTTCGGGCTTCGTGACTCAGGCGTCTGGATAAAGTGTGTGACAACGTTGCTTAGGGAGTGAAACTTCCTGTTATGGAAAGAAAGGTAACGGGAAGGTCAGTTGAGCCTAGTGTGTGAAACAAAACATTCTTATTTTTCAGGGTGGTTTGGTATTCGCAAAGATTTCTGTCAGTTTCTGCTTGAAATCTTCCCATTTCTACGAGAATACGGAAACATTTCGTACGATCTCCACCATGAAGATAGTGAAGAAACCGAAGAGACCCCAGTTCCGGAGCCTCCTAAAATCGCTCCCATGTTTCGAAAGAAGGCCAGGGTGGTCATTACCCAGAGCCCTGGGAAGTACGTGCTCCCACCTCCCAAATTAAATATCGAAATGCCGGATTAGATGCCACTTCCGGGGACAGAGCTTAAGTGGACTGAGATGTGCTCTCTCCACCTTCCTCTGCCCCCTCGTTCACCCCGCAAAGCAGAACCAGAACTGGAGCTGGGTCTCCAGGTACGTCCATCTCATGCCTTGTTTGCATCCAGCGCCTGTCAGCCACTCACCACGACGGGATGCGGAAGTGGCAGGTGACAGGGGCGTGTGCCAGCCGATGTGGACGCCGGGTAGGGTGTGAGAACAGGCGCGGGATTTCCGTCCGTCTGGGAGGGGCTCCAGGTGCTCCTCTTCCCCGTGGCACCCACCGGGGAATGGCTGCTCACCAGGCCCTCAGAAGGAACGTCTGTTTACACGGTGCTGAAATCCCAATGAAAAGCATTGTTCAGAAATGCCTTTCTCCACAGGGCTGAGCTCCTCCCGCAGTGCACTCAGCACTCCCCGGTCGGTCAGGGCTGGCGTAGTCAGTAGGAACTGGAACCATGTCTCTGACGCACCACGAGTTTAGGCACGGCACAGTCCTTTCTTCTGTTCCTACTGTGGAAGTAGTTTCTCTTTGGGCATGCTGAGAGCAGTTTTTCATAGCCTCACCGATGAGCCCTTTTTACGGGAGTGACTCCATGCCTGTATGCAGAGTATTTATAGAAATATGTTAGCATCGTGATATGCGGTGTTAACCCCTAGTTCTGTACAGCACATTCTGTTAGAGTATCTTTTTTACAAGCTTGTGCTGCAGGCAGATGCCTTCTGCTGCAAAAGTGGACGCCCTTGGCACACCCGTCCCGCCCCAGCGGGGTGCCACACTCCCACAGGACATTGCCACTTCTGCCCTGGAACTCATGCAGGTACGCAGTAGCTGCTACTGCCAGGACAGCAACGCCAAGCCGGAGATGCTCCATGCTGCTTCTGACGTTCTCAGAGTAGTGGCTAGCCGAAAACCCAACAAGCGCGACTTGAAGCCAGAGCGCTGGAGAATGTTGCCGAGGGCAGAAACGGCCACGCGGGTAACGTCTGTGCGTGGGGAAGTCTCAAGCTTCCCTCCTGCCAGCGAGAAGAAGGCTTTGCGGTAGGCACGGTGGTTTCACGTGTGCGTGCAGTTTCTTCAAGCGCTGCAGCTTCCTCCATGCATCAGAGGTTGCAAGTTTAACGTCGTCCTGCCTGAAAACAAATAGGTTGTTCGCTGAGAAGAGGCTAAAAAAGAGCATTGATCTTCTCACCCAGGAGAAGAGTGTGGCGTTTCAGTGCAGGCGACTGCTCACCGGCCTACATGGGGCTGAATTCAAGTCCGCTGCAAACAACTCCGCCCCTGGCACTGGCGTCCAGCAAGCCTATTCTCTTTGGGGTATGGGGGAACGGGATGGTTTAGCCCTTCCAGCTCAGTGTGTAAAAAATGCAGCTAAAGCCAGTAGTTTTGCTCTCTTAAGCTGTTCAATAAACCGGCTCCTCATTTTACACGTGCACGATCTGTATCTTATTTGCTGGATGGCCCAGGAAACTGGGATGGTCCTCTCAGCCAGTCTCAGAGGAAGCAACTCTCCATCTGGCACAGGCAGCCGAGCGAGGCTGGCGACTGCAGGGGCACAGCCTTTAGAATGAGTCCTCCTTCAGTGCGCAGCTCTCAGGGGAATATGGGGTGGAGGGAGGAAGGAGGGGACGCCACGGAGCTGCCACTCTTGGCTGGGCTATGCAGTGCCACAATTGTTACCACTTAGGAGGCTTTCTGGAGTGTTCCTCGGGTGCTAAGAGACAGTCTGCAGCAGACACTGTCCTTATACTGCTCCCGGTCCTTGTTTGTTTGCTGCCCAGTCATGTCAACAGCTGAGGACTGCTCACACTGCAACAAAAGGCTCTGCGATTTCTGACTCTAGGCTTCTACGCGAACTGAAACTCAAGTGGAGTTCAGCTCATGACTTGTGGCAGCTGACAAGGAAATCCACCCGTTGCTGAGGCCGGAAGGGTTTTCAGTCCTGTAGGCAGCCAGAGGCCACAGGTGGATTCTGCTGTAGGCTCATGAGATTTCGGACTTGCTATTCAAGAAAATGCCTATTGAAGTGACAACAGTAGCTGCGATCCAACTGCTGGGTGCCTTGCTAGCTCCTATGCGGCCCACAGGATCCTCACAGCCCCGGGAAGCAGGTGCTACTACTCTTATCCCCGGGAGGAAATGGAGGCTGAGCGAGGTTAAGTGATGACATGCCCAAGTCACACAGCTCGGCAGCGGCCAGGCCGAGACACCAGCATTGGCAGTCTGCCTGCAGAACCCTCACTGTCATCCCCTGAGCCAGAGCGTCGGGCCCTGGGGTCAGGATGTCTCAAGTGTGGAGGCATCACCGGTTAGTGACAGTCTCTGGAAGATCACTGAGCTCTGTGCCCACAATCGAGTGAAGGGAGTCTGTGGAGGGGTGGCCCTGTGTGTGTGGACAGTGTGTTACACAGACGCTGCTTCGGATGGACGCCTCTCTCGTGACCTCCTAGTGTCACATCCCAAAGGAACCACTGTTGCAGAGGGGGACCGCTGGGCACAAACCCATGTGCATTTCTCTGGAGACACTGGCCAAGGAAAATGACACATGCTCGAAGGCCAACAGCCACATGCCCTGCCACGATGTGACTACAAAGACCCGGGGTGTAGAAGGGTGTCTCTGCTTGGTGGGAGTACACGTGCAGGCCGAGGAAAAGCAGGAAGAAGTCCACCTCCAGCTGCCTACCGGACTGCGCGGCAGCAGTGGGTGGTGGGACAGTCAGCTAAGCCATTTGCCTAAGTGGCCATCGGCCATCTGCATCCTGGGGACTGACAGTGTGGGTGTGTTCGGAGGACCTTTATGGAGCACATCGCTGCCTCTGGCTAGGACAGGGTGGAAAGGGCGGCGTGGCTACAGCCTGGCCCATGGGCACCGTCGTACCCTTGGTTCTGTGCTTCAACGTGTCAGTCATGTGCTGGGGTCTGTGGTCCCATGACTCACATGGTGAGCTCTGACCTTCCTGAGTCAGGGCTTTGCTGTGGTTCTGCCTGGCCCCAGGAGCTCTAGGACAAGGGGACCGCTCCAGGTCTGCACATAAGGTGTGGCAGGGCCCCTCGACACTCCTGTGCTCTGGTGTCCTCTTTCCCATTGAGATGACTGTGAGGACCAGAATCTGCACATGCAGACGGGCAGCTACTTGTCTGCCTTGGCCCTTTATTAGGTAACTTGCTGGGCATGTGGTGATGTCACCCCCAGGCAGTCTGAGCCCCTTTGTGATGTCCTGGGGCTGGCTGCCTGACTCCCAAGGGGTGCCGCTGGCCACACTGCACTACCATGTTTGCCAGATGGAGGACAGGTCTTCATTGAGTATGGCTCACTCCGAAGAAAGGAATCCGAGGGGACAGGGACACAGCTCGGAAAGGGTGCCTTTTCGTCCCCGATTGGACTCGGAGATCTACCATCACTCAGCGGATCCTTCCCCAGCCTGGGACTACCCGGTGTCCCCCGGGAGCCCTGACTTGAGGATGCTGATGGAAGAAATGGCTTTCCAGTCTCTGGCCGAGGAGGCTTCCTTGAGAAGGCCACGCCCCGGAGGTGACGTCTCGCCCCAGGGAGAAGATAATCTCCTCTCCCTCCCCTTTCCACAGAAACTGTGGAGACTGGTCAACAGCAATCAGTTTTCTTCCATCTGGTGGCATGACAGTGGGACTTGTCTAGGGATCAATCAAAAACTCTTTCAAACGGAGATTCTCGAAAGGGACATCCCGGACAAAATTTTTGCCACGGACTTGCTAAGGAGCTTCGTTCGCCAGCTGAACTTGTATGGCTTCCGAAAACTGCATCAACGCACTTTCAGGACCCTCACCGGTATCTTCACGGCACAGCAGCCAGTCTCCATCTTGAACAAGGTAATGAACGACAAGCCTCTGGAGGGGCTAAGTCGGTGGGCTCTGGGGCCTGTGTGGGTGGAAGTCCCAGGACTGCCTCCTGGGAAGTGGGTGACCTCGGGCGGGGTGTGTGGGGCCATCACTGTGGTCCTGTGTCCCCTGCTGGGTGGAGGTGACATGACCCAAGAGTGAATGTGGGCAGAGGGCCGAGGATGGTGCCAGCCCCTCTCGAGTGGATAAAATATCACAGGTGCTAAGTAGCCATATCTGCATGTCCCCCTACCCGGGGCCAGTCGTGTCATCTGGTGGTTGCTGTGCTCCCCTGACTCCACAGCACTTTACCCTGTGAAGTGAGCAGGCGTCAGGGAGTCTGGTATTTGTACCACTATCCCCCTGGCTGGTGTCTGGAGAAGTGCCCAAGCTGAAGCGCTGAAGGGCGCCCGTCACAGAGGGTGCCCAGGCTCCTGCTGCCCTTGGTAGGTGGCCCCCTGGTGTGGAAGAGTCAGTGCCCGGGTACTCCAGCCCAGCTGGGGTGCCTTCTGTTGCCAGCTGACATTGCCTGCGGGAGGCCCAGAATCTTCTTCCCTCCCGGTCTGCAACTTCGAAGACCCTTTCCGCTGGCCGTGGACACCCTAATTTGCCATTTTGAGGCTTCTTCCCAGATGGAAATGCCCGTCACAAATTGGTAAACCTTGACGATGTGAACACGAGTCCCCAGCTTCTTTTGGGGACTAGGACGTTTTCCAGAAGGGCCTCCTGAGCCAGCAGAGTTCTCTTGCACAGGGCCGTAGGTGCTTGGTGGTTGCCGTCCATCCTTGTGACTTGCAGTTTCCTTTTCTTTATTTGAACTTTGACTCGCAGTTACAGTTCTACTTCCATCCCTACTTTCAAAGAGACTCCCCTCACCTCCTCGTGAGGATGAAGAGAAGAGTGGGCAACAAGTCTCGACCAAGACAGGGGGAGGAGGGCCAGCCAGGAGCTGCGGAATCCCGTCTGGCACCAGCAGGCACCGAGCAACAGGATCACACGTCTCCGAGTGAGGATGAGCAGGTCACACCACAGCACCAGGACCCGGCCAGTCCCAGCAGCCAACTCAGGAGTGGCTCTGCTCCACCAGCAACTGCTGTGACGGCGCCCCATCCCGCCGTGGCGGGTGACAACGCTCCAGTGGCCCAGCCGGCCGGCGAGTGCTCGGAGGGCAGCCGGGCTGACGCGGCTCCCGTGGCAGCTGTCCCTGCGCCTGCGGCGCTGCCCTTCCTCTGTTTCCCCGGATCTCCCACCCAGATGAATTCCGACGGGCCTGTGGTGGCCCTTCCCCCAGCGCCCCCCGGGACCCTTGCCTTGGAGACCACAGGACACCCTGCGCCTGGCATGCCGCCCTTTTGCCGTCTCTGGGTGCCTTTGCCCCTAGTGGCTGCTGTGGCTGCACAGTCTGCTGCCTTCATGGCCATGTTCCCCCATCCCCCAGCTCTGCCCCACCATTGCCCCGACTGCCACCACATGTCACAGTGCATGCCAGCTAGCCATGTGCTCCAGGCGTACCCAGACGACGCAGACCACCACACATAGAGGCGAGCATTTGCGCAGAACATGTGCTGGACAATAAACGTGTCAGGAAGTGGGTAATTTTCTGACTGCACAAAAGAGTCTTCACGGTCTCCGTCCTTTTTCTTTCTTTGCAGTCGAGTACCCACCTCCGACATCTTTTGCTTGCATGGTAGAGACTTCGGTGTAATACCCCTTCCTGGGAACATGCCCCAGAGATAGGCAGCAGGTGCTGGGTTTCAGGAAGCCCCTCAGACGCCCTGCCTCCCCTCATTAAAAATTACCTGGAGCCGCCCGCTGAGAGCCACTGGGGTGCTGGCATTGCCCGCCGAGGGCTCACAGTGACACTGTGTCGCTGGCCGTTCCGTGTCGCAGCGGTGCCTTTATATGACAGGACCTTCACCTACATACAGATGAGAAGAGATCACGTCTGGCTTTGTCACTGGGTTAAACAGTGCCCTTGTTAGTTGTGGAGGTGACAGATACTACCAAAGAGTCCTACGGGTTTGCACTTTAGAGGCTGCTCATTAGTGTATCGTTGACAGGATTTACGTTTGGCTTTTATATCTGTACTGGATCCGGTGGGTTTTCTTACTTCCTTCCTTGATATCCCCACCACGCCCCCACCTTTTCGTTCGTTCTTTCTCTTTCTCTGTGTCTCTTTCCCTCCCTCTCTCCCTCCCTTCCATCCTTCTGTTTCTTTCTTTTGGAGCCCCAAATTTAAAATATGTCATGTTTTAACTTAGCAGCCTTTTCTGATCACTTGAGGTGTTTAACTTAGAACACATGCCGTCATTGACAAGCCCCTTTGACTGAATAATCAGAGAAAATAGGTTCAAGTTCTTACCGTAGACACAACTGGGCACAGACGTCAAAAGATCTCCGAAATCAGGGCGTGCAGAGAGCCCCAAAACCCACACGCCAGAACCCAGAGGTATCCCTGTCCGTGATTTTTAGTTGGACAGTAGGTGGCAGAGTCCTGCAAGAAGTGGGAGGAGGCTCTAAGGGAATGCAGACATGGGAATGGATTAATCCAGAGTCCAGGCATGGTCCGCAG